ACGATGCAGCACTAGTCAAAGCAACTGCATGCAATTCAGCAAACTAATTTGTTTTTTTGTTAAAAGTTTCTTCAGTACTTTTATTAAAAATTTCGTCACAGTTGTCAGTATTAAAAATTTACATGAAAAAAAACTTACTAATTACAATATGAAGCCATATACGCTTGATATGCGCTCTGAAATTGAGCACTTGGCGAAGCAGGCATTGGCTGTGGCGCAATAAAACCTCTTTGTGTCGCAATATTATTAGTCCATAAAGAATTTGCATAAAATGAGGGAAATACGCTGCTGAAACCGGGCTGCTGGGTTTGCAGATGCGCACCGGAATGAGCTCCTGGCACCGCACTCGTCCTGTAAAAAAAAGCATCGTAATCAGTAAATAGTGAAGAGAAAAAAGGAAAAAAATCAGACACAGCAGTAAGCTATGACCGAGGATTTGGTCACGGCAACTGCTAAAACTCGATTTGGCTTGGTCATGCAATACGCATTTGTTTTTCGATTCGAGCTCGAGCTGCGAAAGCGGTGGCACCGGATTATCTAGGTAACGTTCTAGGTGTCACTTTCAAGACCACCAGCTTCTCTTCAATTTTAATCTCAAGCCGGGCACGAAAAAAGCGTCTCGGCACCCTCCTCTCTTCATGAATCCCGTTACTGTTTCCAGTTCCTATCTTCATGTGGGCTTCAGTTTCCCTGCGGTCAGTAACCCGACTCCTTCCTACTTCTGTTACGATCCCAAGACCTAAACCAGTCCCTCATCCTCCCTTCCTCCCTTTCGCCATCTTCCGCCTATCACCGATTGTTATAATAAGTCGCCTCACGAGCCGAGTTCTAGTAGTTGCGTGTGGTCACTGGCGAAAGCAGAACAGCAAGTGACGGCTAAATGCGATAAAGCAGTGAACTGAAGGTTGCTTGGCCTGTCCCCTTGTAACCATATGACCAATCACCCTTCTTTGTCAAATTTGCGGCATCTCTCTTGCAGCCACGTACGAAATTAAAACTTGATAAGTAAAATATGTTGCTTGCTTTGCTGACAACCGACGGACGTCGCATATGAGTAAGTAAAAGTAAACGACCATTCGGGATGACCTCCGCGAAGCAAATGGGCACAAAAATCGATCATACGACGAGAATATTAACTGGTGACATGCAACTCAATAAAGAAGGGCCCGTCAGAGTTGCCTCAGCGTGTGTTATCATTGTGGTAATGGTAAGAAATGTATACAACTTAATGGACTGAAATACTTCCTATCATTATAATAATCTCATAAATTTGCTAATTTTTATTCTTTTTTTCTCTTTCTTCCATTCTTTCCTATTCTAAATTTCTATTACCATTAACAACGGATCTACACATCGACTGATCTTAGTAATACTGATATTAAAGTGAAAACAAAAGAACTCACTGAGTGCGGGCCACATTACGTTTTCGAAGTTCGTTAAAGGCATTGAGATTTTTGGGTGGACAGACAAGATGTATCACATGGATACTACCATCATCAATTGGACGATTTTCGAACACGGATCTCAGAGTATGCTCATCGTGCAAACAATGTCCTGCATATATCAAACGCTGTCTCTTTATTTCCTGAAAAAGCAAGATTTGAATAAAAAGGCAGGCACATGCCCTGGTTAATGAATAAATTTAATTAATTTCGGTCTGGGTACCGAAAAAACGATTTCCCTCCTTTTCCTCCTCATCTCGAAGGGAAAACAAAAAATGAGAAAATTGGCCAACGCACGGGCTGCCCGTGCGAAGATGCGTTTTTTGCAGAGTTCCCCG